AATGGCGGATGAGTACCATAACTAGTTTATTTTTTGATGACTTTTTATTTATGATCTCCACAAATGCATTATTATCGGACCTTAGCATTATCTTTTTGTTTCTTAATTCTTTGCCCAAAGTATAAAATGCCAGTATAATAAGGACTAATTTTAAATAAGTAACATTTTTAAAAGTAGAATCGTCCTAACCGTCTGGCCATTTAAAAGCTACCCAGTTGCCCTGAAAGTACGTCTATTAAAGGCACAGCCACTGGGAATAGCTTTTTATAAAAAATTAAGTAGACCAACGACTGATTGTAAGTCTTTGAAACTGATCTTTTTAGCGTTTCTCAAACAAACGAGACAGTTTTTCGCTTTCCTTATTTTTTCTAAAGTCACCCTAACCATTTGGTTGATTGAATCAATTTCAAGACCCAGGTATGTTATAGTTGTTACAGGTCCCATCAATTTTTCAACACTTAGAGGGACATCAAGTTCATTGCAAATTTTATCAAATGTTTGCATTAAATTCAAGCATTTTTCAAAAGATTTTCCTGCCATAAAAAAATCATATAGCAGGTGATCAATATAGTATGATTTTGATTCTTAAGACACAAGCCATTGTAAAAACTTAAAATAAATTTCAAAAATAAAACATGAACATGATGCGCCTTGTGGCAGCATTTTTTGAATCCAATATCCCTCCTCGGTTTTTATACCTAATAAATTAAAATCGCCTGGTCATATAGGGCATAAATTAAATGCAGAAGAAATATCAGCTTTTGCCATAAAAGCAAACCCCCTATTTCTTGAATTATTATCCTCTGCCGATGGAATCGGGAGGGGGATATAGTTTTGGCGTTGTCCGCCCGTCCGTCCATCCGTTCGTCCGTCCGAATTTCGTTTCCGGAGTAGTTCTCTGCAACTAATGGCTGGAATTCAACGAAACTTTATGGGAATGTTGATCAGCATGTGAAGTTGTGCACCTGGGTATTTTCGTCTGGATATTTTTTAGTATTTTTAGAGTTATTGCCCTTGACTTAGTAAAATTTTGTAATTTTCAACTTGTGTCGCATGTAACTCAAAAAGTATTTGACCTAGAGTCATGAAACTTTACAGGAATGTTGATCAGTATGTGTAGTTATGCACCTGGGTATTTTCGACTGGATATTTTTAGTATTTTTAGAGTTATTGCCCTTGACTTAGTAAAATTTTGTAATTTTCAACTTGTGTCGCATGTAACTCAAAAAGTATTTGACCTAGAGTCATGATACTTTACAGGAATGTTGATCAGCATGTGTAGTTGTGCACCTGGGTATTTTCGTCTGGATTTATTTAGTATTTTTAGAGTTATTGCCCTTGACTTAGAAAATGTTTGCAATTTTCAACATGTGTCGCATGTAACTCAAAAGGATTTGACATAGAGTCATTAAACCTTATTGGAAAGTTGCTCAGCATATTTAGTTTGTTCCTGGGGTTTCGCTTGTGGATTTATTTAGTATTTTTAGAGTTATTTCCCTTGACTTAGTAAAAACTGTTTCATTATGTTGTTATTTGATCCTTGAGTGCTTGAGTGCTTGAGTTAGAATCGACCAACTTTACAGGAATAATGATCAACATCACTAAATTACAGGAATAATGATTCACCTCACTGTGAAGCTTTGAACCTGGGACTTTGCATGTGGATTTTTTTCCAGTTTTGTTAGAGTTATTGCCCTTGAATTACAGTAGTATAAATTTGCAATTTTCAACTTGGGGTTTGCTTGGGGATTTATTCAGTATTTGTTAAGTTCTTGCGCTTTACTTAGTAAAAAGATTTTTAGTTTTCAAAAAATATTTGACCTAGAGTCATAAGATTGACAGAACAGTGGCGCGGTGGGGGCACCCGTGTCCTATGGACACATTTCTAGTTTTTATTAAAGAAGAATTAAAATGATTTGTTACAATAACATTTAAAAATATTTGAAAATTGTGAGATCCCTTCTTGATGCCTTGAAAATGGCAATGAAGTCTTGAGATTAAGATGTTTTTACATCTAGGTGAGCTATTGTGATCCCCCACCGTCCGTCGTAGTGCCTCGTCAGCAATTTCTTTAAACAACATCTCCTCAGAAACAAATGACTGCACATCAACCAAACTTTACAGGAATGATCCTAGAGTGGTCCCCTGCCAAAGTTGATCAAAGGTTCCGGTCTGTTGCATAAGTAGGTCACAGGGCCAGAAAAGGAGTTTCAAAAATGCAAAATTAAAAAATCTTGTCTGAAAGTACAAGGCCTAGAGCTTTGATATTTGGTATATGATATAACCTATAGGTCCTCTACCAAAATTGTTCAAATTTTAGCCCTGGGGTCAAAATTGGCCCCACTCCAGGGGTCATAGATTTTCCTTATATGTATATAGTGAAAACTTAAAAATTCTTCTTGTTTGAAGGTACAAGGCTTCAAGTTCAAAGAATATTACAGTTTATGCCATGATTAATATATAAATAAAGCCTTATGTCTTCAGCTGTTGTGTTAATAATAACCAGTACTCGGCGGGGGATATAAATTCAACGAAATTGCCTGTTCTTACTGCATTGTCGAATTGTGAATATTGAATATGGCAAAATTCTGGATCGATGAATTCATTTATACTTTTGCCTGGTGGGTATGAAATGTGCGTTATTAATCTGAAACCACCGTTTTGTTTTGGTACGAGACCTACGGGATTTATTCTCAGATTAGTAATTGGCTGGTTTTTGAACGGTCCTTGGATTCGCCCAAGTAAAAATTCGTCGTGAAGCTTTTTATTTAATAAGCATTTTTGATCAATTGCCGATTTGAGATTTTTTGGAAAAAATAGGGATTCTTGGTCCGGTATATTCGAGTTTAAAACCAGTACTAAAGCCTTGATAAATGTAATTGGCATTATCCTTCTTTGGGTATTGAAAGAGTTTATCAGCGAGACCCGAGATATTAATTGGTAAAAACCCGAGGTCCACTAGGCACTCTTTGAGCTGGCATTCCAAATACCTGTCGAGGGTATTGCATCTGGGGTGGTCTGAAACGTAATGAAGGCCTTACATAACGCGGCGTGAATTGCGCTGTTTGTTTATTTGCATAACAGTGTATTGAAATATTCAGAGGTAGAGGAGCCGGCTGGCTCAAGGACTGAATAGGCTGCATATATATCATCCACAATTCTGGGTCAATATTTTGCCACTTTATACCCAAATCGATTGATTTTTTAAGCCTAAATTGCCTATCGTACTCGAACCATCCGACATTTCTGGATGCCGCTAAACGAATGTTTGCAAAATATTGTAATAGGTTATTTGCTTGTTCTGGATGTTTCATAATGAAAATACTCATGTACACCACGAAAGAATCTGACCAAATTTCTATTTTTTCTAATTGTTTCGGAATTTGCTCTTGGGTACTCATTATAAGTTCCCCGTCAACAAGTTGAATCTTTTGTCTATTTTCTAACATATTTTTCTTTGGCAACAAAGTGTGTAACTCTACAAATTGATTGTTCCATATTTTATCTTTAGTACTGACCCATGTGCGCCTAGCATTGTACCAGATGAAGTATTTATCATGAAAATTTGAAAAAAATTCACCTTTATTAGCCTCTTGGTGATGAAGATCAACATCTACCGGAGGTCCGGATTGGCCATCCATCTCGTTTTCTGCACAGGGCTCCCTTACAGGTCTGTCAGCTGGAGGCATGGCTGTAGAAACAGACGTTCGAGTGTTCCACCTAATATTGACTTGCTGTTGGAGCGTGTCTCGTGTATGGCCACGTTGTTGGCGATGTTTTGGCAATGTCGAAAAATAAAATAACATAAATAAATAAATAGATCTAAATAAATAAATTAAATAAATAAATTTGTGTAGATCTTAATAAATTATTATTGTTAAATTTTTATTTGATGTATTTTATTTATTTCATACTTTATATATTTAGACTCTATTTACTCTTATCTTTATTTTCTTAGCCTAGATGAAATGACGTCATAGGTATGATGTCATGCGCGTGGGTTTCAATGAGACTGATAATTTTCCCGTTGGAAAACATGACCTGTCATAATCGAGTTATATAAATAATATTGTATTTTTAACCGTTTTTATAGCTATGCTCATTTATTCATTAATTCATAAGATAATGATAATAATCTAGATTCTAAGTAAAGATCACGTGCTCAAACATCATATAAATATACAGGTTTAAACTTAAGATCAAGATCCGATTTTTTATTTATTTACTTAATATTTTAAAGAAACCTTTTAACTTTGAAATACATTTAGTGTAATCAAAGCATCCGAATTGATTTTTTAGACTACTGTCCTTAACGAGAAAAACATGGTCATCACCACGTGGTCATTAGATCTGGTCAAAGTTCTTATCTGTTCCAAGTTCAAATCCCAAATAATAAAACAAATAATAACAGAATATAAAATATATCTAATTTCCTGTGAGATTAAATAATATTGATTCATCCAATATTTGATTTTTGAATTTAGATTTTTTAACGATAAACTATTCTACCTCTTCTATGGTGAGCCACGATTGAAAGACCGTTCCCAGAATTTTTTCTGCCTTATATATGACATAATCCAGTGTAAGTTGTCTCCCCTGACAACTTTTTTGAGGCCTTACTGGGGTGTTATAATAAAAATGTTAAGTTGTAAGATTTGAATAAAAGATTTAATCCTCTAGCGGATAAATCAAATAATATTGTTAAAAGCTGAAATATGTGACAACAATGAAACTTATATTACACAAATAAAACAAACACATACTAAATAGTTTTCAGTTTTTGACTATGAGACATGTGTACAGAGTAAAAATAGCAATTATATAATAACTAGCGCTTCACACAAAATATATCAAAGCAGGCTTTAGCAGAACATTTTTCATTCTTAAATAGTTAATATTGTCTTAGTTTTTTGCCAATTGTTCGTCCGATAACACCAATAGTTGAATTTATTCCAGTTAATCAATTATTTATTGAATAAGCAATAGCTGATGTTCGAAAAATTCCAAACTTCTTATTTCAGTTTTTGCTCCAAACAGTGAAAAAAGACTGTAACAAATGGCGAATGAAACGTTTAAGAAAAATCTGATTGAATTACAGGAAGGTATAGAAAAATCATCAAAAATGATACAATCATTACAAAAGGTAATAGTTTTGAATGAAATATTAGAGAAATTGGCCAGTAAAGAAGTTGGTGACAGATATGCGAGCATTGAACAGTTTAAACAAAGTGTTTCGAAAAGTTTTAAGATATTTGTTACACAAGATTGCCTTCATGACGAAGAAGTTGTTAAGATTTATAACTTTGAATCAAATGTGTAGTATAATCCAGCCAGGCACATTTTGACACTTTATTGTTAAGGAGAATATGAAAGGTAGGTGATTCTACTCTAGTGCCTACTGACGGGACTTTAATATTTCTGGAGGATCGAATTGACTTGGGGCGCCTAATACTCCTTCATTTGTGAAAGCTGAAATATCCACATATGTACAGTGATGATGTGTCTTAATATCAAACCAAAACACAAACTATTTTCTTAATAATGCACTAACGTTTGTTTGCTTCATTTAACGCCTTTTCCTAACAGTATTTCAGTCATATAGGCGGGAAGTTTCCTAACCATTGCCTGGAGAGTTACACCAGTACTAGAATACCTTCCTACGCTCTAAACTACCAAAGCATCTCCCGGGGATCGAACCCACGCCAGAGAGGTAACTGGATTAGAAATCATCGACTCTAACCCCTCGACCAAGGACGCGGTTATGCACGATAGGCCTTTCCACCTTTTGTAGTAAGAATGGACTTTACTTAAGTAGTAGGCCGAGGGTAACAGTTCAAAACACTATCCTCTCCACCTCGGGACAACTGTTTGACTGTTCCCAAATCACATATGAAATAACTGTTTTATTACCTGTTTTAACAGCGAACGTTGACGTTTTTAGAATTTCAGAAAACAGTTAAAAATACCAAATAACATTTATATAAGGTATCAGGTAATAATGTTAATTAATAATGATCTGTGTTTACTACAGTCCTTGAAACGGACGACGATGGAAATTGAACAGATAGGACAAGTTCTACAGGATTTTCGCTCTTGTAAGTATTAATTAACCAAACTGTTAATGATATTTAAGAAATCAGTATAAGTAATTAAAATTTATTTCAAACTACATGTATGTTTGCTATAAAAGCACGTACATAAATGTAAACACAATCTAGCTAAAATTTTTTAGCTCACCAGAGCTGAAAGCTTAGGGTGAGCTATTAGTATCAAAGGGGGATACTTCTTATCTGAAACTGCTGCGCAGATTTACTTTAAATTTGGTCTGTAGCATCCTTGTGACAGTCACTCTTGAATTTGCTCATGTCATTTCAATTGAATATTTTTAGGGGTCAACAGGGCTAAAAATAGAAAAATCTTTAAACATCTTCTACTACTACAGACCTAATGGATGGATGATCACCAAACTTTGTCTGTAGCATTCTTGGGTAGTGTTTTATCAAGTTTGCTCATATTAATTTGATTAGCCCCTTTTAGGGACAGCTAAAGCTAAAGATAGAAATACTTTTAAACATCTATATCTAGAGAATTAATTGATGGATGATCACCTAACTTTGTCTGTAGTATTCTTGGGTAGTTTTTTTATCAAAATTGCTCATATTAATTTGATTTTGCCCCTTCTAGGGGTCCCTACGGCTAAAAATAGAAAAGCTTTAGAGATCTTCTTCTACAGAACTAATGGATGGATGATCAACAAACTTTGTCCGACCATTCTTGGGTAGTCTTTTATCAAGTTTGCTCATATTAATTTGATTGGCCCCTTTTAGGGACAGCTAAACTAAAAATAGAAATACCTTTAAACATCTATATCTAGAGAACTAATTGATGGATGATCACCAAACTTTGTCTGTAGCATTCTTAGGTAGTCTTTTATCAAATTTGCTCATATTAATTTGATGTGCCCCTTTTAGGGGTCTTAAGGGCTGAAAATAGAAAAACCTTTAAACGTCTTCTTCTACAGAACTAATAGATGGATAATCACCAAACTTTGTCTGCAGCATTCTTGGGTAGTCTTATATCAAGTTTGCTCAGATTAATGTGATGAACCCCTTTTGGGGGGCAGCTAAAGCTAAAAAAAAAGAAATACCTTTAAACGCCAATTTCTACAAAAGTAATTGATGGATGATCACCAAACTTTGTTTGTAGCGTTCTTGTGTAGTCTTTTATCAAGTTTGCTTATATTTATCAAGTTGGCTCATATTATATTGATTGGCCCCTTGGGTCTCTAGAGCTAAAAATAGAAAAACCTTTAAACGTCTTTTTCTATAGAACTAATTGATGGATGATCACCAAATTTTGTCTGTAGCATTCTTAGGTAGTCTTTTATAAAGTTTGATCATATACATTTGATTGACCCCTTTAAGGGGCCGCTAAAGCTAAAAAATAGAAATACCTTTAAACTTCTATTTCTAAAGAACTAATTGATGGATGATCACCTAACTTTGTCTATATCATTCATAGGTAGTCTTTTATCAAGTTTGCTCATATTAATTTGATTGGCGCCGTTTAAGCTAAAGCTTAAATACCCCTGGTCAAGGCATTTCTTCAAATTAGTGTTTAAACATATTCTATGCTCAAATTGAATGACAATGGTTAATTTCCAACACTGAAAAGCAGTTGTTTCTTGACTCAGTTGTTTCTTGGCGACTCAGCGCCATCATGGCCCCATTGTTTACAGTTACTATTTTAGATAATCTAAATAAAGAGTTTTGATAAACATACATTTCAGGGAATCGTAATTTTTTAAACAATTTGGCCATTTGAAATCATTTTGGTCTGCAGTGTCGAAAACAAAACAAATAAACGATAAAATAATTTATGTATGAAATTTTCGTCAGCGTTGTATCTAAAGTTTACCATATACGTTAAAGGGCGAAATTTCTATAAGTCAAAACGGCCTAGTCGTTAATTTAATTCTCCTAAATTTTCTGTGAGTGAGGTTTAGCAATATGTTTACTTCGGAAAATGAATTGAATTCTAACTAAATTATTCCTCTCTGGCAGTCATTTTTATGCTGCATAAGAACTACATAAATGTAGGAAACGTAGACAAAGAAACAAACCATACAATAACCGATAGATATTTGTTCAAAGCATTACAAATCATACCAACCAGTACATAATTTAAGTTTACCGTACGTAAATAACGTTAGTCTTAACATTTGATCATCAACAACAACACAGCGACATATCTTTTTTTCACTCAAACATGTAGACAACATGTAATATGAGGATAAATATCAAAATATAAGACGAGGAATTAATACAAATTTAAATACATTATTGTAATCAGACAATTATTATTGAACTATATCAACATATTTATGACATGTGATTTACTAAGAGGCACATTATGCATTATACGGTATAATTTTGTACCAAATTTTTGGAATTAACAGTAAGACAAAAATAAAAGATCTTTTCTTAAATGAAAGTATTCAAAGATAAATTAATCGTGCAATAGTTTTTTTTTACAAATTTGTTAAAATGGCTTTTGGAATTTAACTTATCTCTCGTACTCCAAAGTGCAATAATTTTTAATTCTATCAAATTCAGAGCAAGAAACCATAGATTAACAGTTGAAACTTGAAACTTGACAAAATTACCTGTAAATGAAATAATGTGTATTTATTTTTTTGCCTTACTGTTAATTCCAACCATTTGGTATCGGGAAAATTATGATCATTCCAAAATTTGTTGAAACCGCAGTTTATTATTATTGATTTTAAATCATAAATCCGCGGATAATAATGTTCAGAATCATTATCATTAATACTTACGGTATTGTATTTCTTAGTATATAATTATATACATAGTATATATGACAATTAGTACTAAACCATTTTCGTTCTGAAGGAGACGGACCGAAATAAAACTATTCTTTTTCCGATATCTACAGACAATGGCATGCATCCCGTATCACCGTATATTCACTAACTTGCCGTCGAACGTTAAAGTTTAAGGATATGTTTTAAAAAATTGAGCTGCACGCGTTCAATAACGTCAGGATTAACTTATCCCCAAAGCTCAGAACCATTAAATAATATAGGTTTAACAATTTTATTTAAAATTCAATATGTAAGTTAATTGGTAAATTTAATCTTTTTGGATTTCTTTATAGGCGTAAATCGATCTATTTATTTTACGGTTTTGTACAATAAATATGTAAATATTGAGGTTTCTCGTAAATGTTAAAAAATTCGTTCTACTTATCTCTATTTGAACACAACAATTAGCAAATACAAAAAAAAATAACGAAGCTCTCCACCAAAAACAGGAACGTATGTTATCTGACAATAGTTAATATTGTGTTAAGTGGTCAGATGTGAATCAATGCTTTACACGGAGACCAAACGATCACAAATTTTTATAACAGGAGTAAATTCTCTGGACTCAGTAGACTTAATTATATGTGCCACTATATAAAGATGATGGACTAAGCAACAACAACTAATAATTTCAATCAATGCTTTTATTATTTGAGTAGTTCTTACAAATTTTAGAAGTATATTAATGAAATGATATTTATTTCTATTAAGAACAACTCTACTTATTTTTTTAATTTAGATTATATCAATGAGATATTTTATATGATTTTGACAATAATAAACGTAAACGTTTGCTTTTTTGGACTAAGTCTAGTTAAGAATTTCAAGGGTAAGCCTTGTAGTACTGACCATAATAGGTACTGTATATTACCTAACTAACATTGCCAGATTCAGCTTATTTATACCATTCAATAATCACTGCAACAATAATTGGTTGACTATAATATTGTATATACCATGCAATAAGTATGATATATAATAACTTATAACATACTTAGATTAACTGTTAACTTAGATTACCGTAATACCCATCCTATTACACTTGTATATTAATCCGGCGTAATGTGCCTGAACGGCCTAAACGATACTTTAAAAACTCAGTTTAAATTTAAAGAAGTCGGGGCCTATTGCCTACAACATGAGGCACTTTTGTTAACTTCTGATATCATAGTCAGTTTCAGTTACAGTGCTGACTGTGCTTATTCCTCCTAAGTTCAATTCGGACTGTTGTAAGAACATTGTTGTCTATGTTATCAAAGGAGAACTACATACCGTTATAAACGACTTGATATTTAACATTTTCTACTAACTAATTTTATGAGTTTAATTGAAAGATATTTTATTCATAATAATACACTGTACATAATATACATGCATTATGAAATCATATATAGTTCTTCTCTTCTTTAATAATTGCCTTACCAGTGCTCTTGTGTACGCATATAATGTTTTTATTTGTATTAATTACTAAAGATCGACATAGTAACCTTGGTTACAACGGGTAGCTTTAAATGATACCCGAGCTAATTTTGTACGTATATTTTAAAACAACTAACACAAAATATAAAAAGCCTCCGAGAAATAAAATTGATAAGCTTTTCAAAGGCATAATTGGCTATTAAAGTTTGTCAAGCAAACCTCATAAAATTGTATTATAGTTAATGATTCACATTTTATGCTGTGCGTTGTACTGTGTTAATTTAAATAAACAAAACAGAAATACAACGTTTGGTGTAGTGATTGTAAACTGAGTGGGTTTGAAGCTCTTTATATCAATCATCTCTTCGATTAAATCAATTAACATGATGTACTTTTAAGAACAAGGAAATAGATTTTACATTCATTTAAATGCATATTATTTAAGGCACTGACAGATCTACTCCTCCAAAATATCCCAAATATGAGAGCGAAACTGCAAGGGTGACAAGCTACAATGATTGTGGAGACATTGTGATACCACCAGATAGTTTGGCTACCTCAGGATTTTTCTATGCAGGTTTTGGTGACTGTGTTAGGTGCTTCCAGTGTGGCGTTGGTAAGTATCTTTACTGTAGGGGAGAAGAAACTTGCTAGTGAGCTGAAGTATTTTATCACATGCATAAACAGAAACGCACAATGTGAAGATTTAGTTAATAGCGATGAAAACAAGATAGTGTAGATATTTATGTATAAAATATATGCCTAATATAACATCAAAATAATCATGTTGGCATAGTTTTAATTGTGTTGCTTATCTGATTTAATTAGAAAACATGTTTTTTAATTTCTTTTGTTTTTAAATAAAATACAAGTGTGTACACTTACTAAGATAGATACTGGTAATATACATATTATATTTTCAAGTCTTTAGAGGCTTATTGAATTTAGTTTAAACGCATCTTTTATAACTTACGGGATAAGTGCTATTCATATCAATATAATCTCAATTTGATTGTAAATACACTTGATTTTCAGGTCTTCGTCATTGGTCAGAAGAAGATGATCCTTGGATCGAACATAGTAGATGGTCAAAGGATTGTTTATTTGTTAAACAAGTGAGAGGTCAAGAGTTCGTGAATATTGTACAAGTGGCTGTACAGTATTCTCAGAATGTAAGTTTCAAATGTCATCATGGAAATGTTACGCTTGGTAATACTATTTGGCATTAAAACAAATTAATCAATCTTTATGAAAAATTATATCATAACTTGTAATTTTTGTTCTTGTTTATATAAAATTCCTGATATTAAGATATTGTCATATTAAACAAAGAAGAAAGTAACCGGTTTTAGTATTTGTCAATGAAACCCGCTCACCTACAACCAACTAAATGAAGAAATATATTCGCTTATTCTTTTCATACATATTTTTACATTCTTAAACAACATTCAAAATGTTTTGCTTTTGCATTTTCTATTTATTATGTTTACGTTTTATTTCATACTAAATGATACTTCACAAACAATTAATGCGCCGTATGTTAAATTTCATCTTTACCTGTTTCAATTGATAAAGTATAAGAAGAATATTACACCATTCATAGTCAAACTAATCATTCAGTAAAAGCGCTAGACGTCATTTTAATACACGCGACTCACTTTTCATGTGGTGTGAAGTTGAGCTAATCTAGCACCGATGTGAAGATAATTCAGTCTCAGAAGCAGATTGACATTTTTATTTGATTGGTAAATAAAGTTATACTTGAAAAAAAAAGAAACCCACTCTCTTTAAGATGAAAAAGATTTCTTCATTTCCTTATTTTTTTTTATATTTTACCTAAGCGTGGGATGCGAAATATGCATATCGGCAATCAACACTTGAAAAGTAACTTATGCAAATTTCCATATTCGTCATTTTGGGATCACAGTAGTATGTCGACTTGACGCAAAGATGCCAGCCACTCGGGCATATGACCTCGATGGTCATCGCAAACGGTATTAACAAGCCGATTTATACAACCCAGACCGATATTACTTCCTAGATATTAATAAAAGTTAGAATCTGCCTTACACAGCACAGAGTAGAATAATAGATTTGTGTACTTGAATATATATTCATCCAATAAACATTTTAGGTTTAAAAAATGAATAAAAAATGTATATATTTTACAGTGTTTTTATTATGATAAGATATATACATCTACTTATTTACTTTAACAGACAAATGGAAACAGCCAGGCTACAGTCAACAATAAAGCTGGTGAGATCAGTTTAAAATTATGATATATAGAAAATATTGAAATTGGTACCATAAAAGCCTTGTTGTATACTTTGTGGTAGTCTGTGAGGATTTCCACGAGCAATTTTTGTTTCTGTTCAAAAACGTTATTTGTAACAATTCTAACTTTTTTGAAAGTACTAGTAGTCAGTGGGCAAAAAATATATTATTTAAGGACTTTGAAATTAATGACCACAATTTAAAATGCAATGAAAATGTATGACAAATATATTACAGAACTAGAAACTAGAAATTAAAAAAAATACATATTTTAACACTTTGTTGTGATCAGACTTTTATGTATTTATAAGCAGCAACCAAAGAGTGTTCTGCCAATGCTGATATAGAACGCCAAATGCATACTGTTGCTGTCCAAAGTGTACTAGAGATGGGCTACAATCATCATGTCATACGAAGCGCCTTACGTGCAATAAGAAATAGAGATGGTAAACGATTACATTTTTTATTTTTAATTAACGTAACTGCAATATCACGTCATCAGATAAGCTGGGTTTTTTACTTTCCCCTAGATTCCAGCCATATGGAAGAATTAAGAAATGAGTGCACAAACACAGATAATATTAAACTTCCAACTATTTTTTTCTTAACATCATATTTTGAAATCTTAAGGATACGTTTGAATTTATAACCTTAATGTAATCCGTTCTAGAAATGATAACAAAGAGTTCATACGTACGACGATAAAACTTGACTTATGTAGCAAATAGAAAATTCTGGCCGAGAAGTTCAGGGAACATGATCAACATCATAATATTAGACTGGATTACATATGATTGTTAAGATAGTAGGGGTTAACTTTATAGAAAATTTAGAACTTTATTTCATAGACAGCAGCCTTGATTTTGATAGTTTAGGTATAATATTACTTCTCTATGCTGCCGACATGATTTTAATGGCGGATACTATCGATGAAATGGAGCTTTGATAATTTAAATTTTGGCAATTAACTGTCAACATGGAAAAAACAAAAATGATTGTTTTAAGAAAGCGGAGTGGTTTGACAGAAAACGAACAGTGGTCCTATTGTGACATTCAACTCGAAAAAGCAAAGAACTTTAATAATCTCAGCGTAGTATTTGACTCGAACGGATTTTACATTTACTTATTGGGAAAGTGTTCTTTCTTATGAAACACTTAATAGTTTGAACTAACACCTACGGCTATGCTAAATTTTTAACACTACTAAATAATTCGGCAAAGATATGAAGATATGTTAAGTGTAAGGAGCTCGAAAGCGTTCCTTCAAATTTTGTAAACGTATACTAAGTGCAAAAAATGCTGGTGTTTACTGGGGCCTGTCAATTGTTTATTACGTTTGTGAGAAGAAATCTGGTTAAAAAATCATACATTCAAACAATTGCACCGTATCGAAAATTTATTCATTGTTATTAAGTGATTGCTGCAGTGAGAAGCCAAATCTGGTTTCTGTTGTAAAGCATATTTTATACTGTAATGGAGTTGGATATACATTTTCTTCCAATTTTCAAACAAGGACTGATATATATCTTTATACCTTACTGAAGAAGTGACCTACAGGGCAATAATTGTAGATTATTATCATTTTATTCTCATATGTGAGGAACACAATGTTTTACGGAAAAGATATATATTCAATACTTTCAATTCAATAGGTTATTTGCAATAATCAGCTTTGGCAAAGGCTGACAAACTACAATCTATACAATTCACACATGCATCAAATGACATATAATAACTGTTACATCATTACGAATATGATGTCGAGAAACAGCAAATATAGACAGTAATTTTTATGAATGGCCTAAATAATTTAGCATGTTCTATGCAAACAAGATGATGAAACTAAATATGCTTTAAATTAGTTAATTAAGTTGTAAGCTACATGTATTCAGATAAAGATATAGCAAATCAATCTCTTCAGAGATCAATAATTAAAAATTAAACTATATATATAAAAAAATCACATAAATTCGCGATTTTCCCGACAATGGATGAGATGCAAACACTTGTTAACTTTTTGATCATCTTTTTTTAGATAACCAAATAAATAGAATTAAATTATTCCATGAGTAACACCAATGACATAAACTACATTATACAGATATGCAAGCTTGTTAAAAACGAAATGATAGATGAACATCACCAATCAACAAAATCTGACAAGTACAGGTATATATACATAATAAAGTAAAAACCATAACATAGAAATAAACAGTCATAAACAACATTGTAATGCATGCTTATTAATATTTAAGATGGGTGGGCATTAAATGCCACAATGTTGATGGAGAAAATCTTCGAATTAGAAGATGAAGCATCCGCCTCGGTCCAAGGCACACCAGAGAATCAGATTGGCATAAATTATTTTAGTTCAGAGTCATCAAAGAGCGCTAGCATTGAATCGGTTGTTATGTCCGAATTGCCTCCAGTGACAAATTCATACAGTGGACCAACGGAAGCATTCAGAACTCAAACACGTATGTAGTGCACTTTATTTTTAAATGGTTTCATTGCTAATACAATGTATGGAACTACTAATATTGTGTATGTCAGCATTTGAATTGGAGAGTCTATACAACTGGCTGGGGGGGAGATACCAATTAAACATATTATAATTCGTTTGCAAATTGAAAGTATAGGTAAAATTATTATGTTAACTAAAAGAAGAATTGCTTTGTGTAGTTCTATCAAATTTGTTCAACTCACGGTCCCGGGACAACATGTTCCTCTTTACGGGCCATTTAATTAACATAAACATGAAAATATGAAAAGCCAGAAGTATTCAACAAAGGAAAATTTGCCTATAGTTTCAATTAATCAATTAAGAGCATGGCTATATGTTAAGAATTTTTTTTACAAATGTATGGTTTAGTGCTGAAAGTGCATCCTCTCTACAACAAGTTTTAAACTGATATATAAATAATCATTTACCATTTTCATAAATATTCTTAATCGTTTAAGTATGTGTCCCTTTTGTTTATTAATTTAATATTAATATCATTTGCTATAACCATAGTATAAATGTGATGTTTGCTTTATTGATTTAAAGAAGAATTGCTTTGTGTAGTTCTATCAAATTTGTTCAACTCACGGTCCCGGGACAACATGTTCCTCTTTACGGGCCATTTAATTAACATAAACATGAAATATGAAAAGCCAGAAGTATTTAACAAAGGAAAATTTGCCTATAGTTTCAATTAATCAATTAAGAGCATGACTATAGGTTAAGAATTTTTTTACAAATGTATGGTTTAGTGCTGAAAGTGCATCATCTCTACAACAAGTTTTAAACTGATATATAAATAATCATTTACCATTTTCATAAATATTCTTAATCGTTTAAGTATGTGTCCCTTTTGTTTTTTAATTTAATATTAATATCATTTGCTATAACCATGGTATAAATGTGATGTTTGCTTTATTGATTTAAAGAAGAATTGCTTTGTGTAGTTCTATCAAATTTGTTCAACTCACGGTCCCGGGACAACATGTTCTTCTTTACGGGCCATTTAATTAACATAAACATGAAAATATGAAAAGCCAGAAGTATTTAACAAAGGAAAATTTGCCTATAGTTTCAATTAATCAATTAAGAGCATGGCTATAGGTCAAGAATTTTTTTACAAATGTATGGTTTAGTTCTGAAAGTGCATCATCTCTACAACAAGTTTTAAACTGATATATAAATAATCATTTACCATTTTCATAAATATTCTTAATCGTTTAAGTATGTGTCCCTTTTGTTTTTTAATTTAATATTAATATCATTTGCTATAACCATGGTATAAATGTGATGTTTGCTTTATTGATTCATATACGATTACCGTTTTCATCAATTCAGGTCTTTAATATTTGTTCCACAATAAATAAACTATCGTTCTCAAAAAATTATTCTAGATTATTCACACAAGCAACGCTTTTTATGATATCATGTCTTATTAAGAAAACACTGCAACAAAACATTTTATAGACAGCGACATGAAATGTTTGTTTTTTAAGCGTGTACCCTTTTTAAAATTGTGATATAATTTCGTTTATAAAATTGCGTTGTCCTTATTTTAATAGTTATCATTTTGTGTTTTTATTTAAAAATATTCAGTAGTTTTTTTTAAATATTTTACAGCCTCGCTTGATATTTCATGTGATGGAATTGATGAGATGTGGGAGTTGAACATGGAAAACCAAAGGCTGAGAAACATACTCTTTTGCCGCCATTGTATGACCAGATTACGTGAAGTTGTGTTTCTAAGTTGCCCATGGCCACATCTTTTGTTCTGCAATATATGTTACTTACTTTATGATATTTGTCCAGTGTGCAACACTCCAGTCAAAGCTTTGATGAATGTAAGGAGGTAAAATATGAACCAAGTTGTTTCCTCCAGAATAATGGAGACATAAACTCTTTCAAGTAACTTTTCACATATTGCATTTCTGATTTGTTTGAAAATGAAAACAAACAAACACACATTCGGCAATCATTAACAAAGTCAACTGTCTTTCGTGTGACGTATTTGACGACTTGTGATATGAATTCTTGCATAACAAACCTGGCTGAATATTTTCTATTCATCAGCAATACTGTGTAACTATGTTATAATAAATAATAAATAGACAAAAGCAAAATGTACAGTTTAATCACTTAGATGTCAATACTATTAGAAATAATCATTTTGAAGATCATGTAACTCATTTTTTATGGTTTTATATCATAAATATAATGCTCAAATGAAGATTTACCAATATTGTAAGTTTCAAAAACCATTATTTGTAAAGAAATTACAGATTTTACATTTTCATTTTAAGAAAGGGAGGTAACTAAAAATTTATTATCTATAAGAAATAATTTATTTTCTATAAAGTATAAGTCAAATTCTTCAATAAGAAATGAATTGATGTATTTTAATGAGTACAATATTTGCAGTATGAATTTTACATATTTAGAAGCATAATTATATACATAAAAATATATAAAATTATGAGTATGGTAATAACCTAAATCACAGCATACAGGATTTTTAAATCTGGAAAATCTTTTCAACATATACATCTGCCCTCTGTCCCAAATGTATAGGGAAAACACTGCCATTAACAAGACTCATCACCGAATTATAGGTACATGTGTAATGGCATGGAAATTGCACAGCCTTATTGTTTTTTCAGTCAGACATGTTATATTAATTGGTGTCAAAATGCGGTTTTAATTACAGAGTGTTATTCTTCCATGCATAAAGTGACAGTGAATTGACTTGTTTACATTTTAAATGTAATGAGAAAAGTGTTTGCAGTATAATAGTAAGCAGCTATAAAAGGCATTCGATTTCGTGATATGTTTTAACTTGACAAGTAGATTAATCTTGATTTTTTCAATTATTACATTTCTGTTAACTGAATACCTGATAGAACAGTAATGAAAAACTGATTATTAGTTAATAGTATAAATAGTATAAATCGATGTTAACTTAATCAGTTTCTGTACTGTAAAATGAACATGTTATATTGACAAAGTAGTATCTTTTATTGTTGTTTTTTTTATACATTTTGCGAGGATCATTCCATATTTGAACTTTTGTTTGCAAAGTGTTCATTATTAAGATGATAATTTTCTAAAAATATATTTTACTTAGGGGATGCGTTTGATTGAATGCCGCCCTTCCTTCTTGATCTTGTTTTTCATATTGTAGATTATATATCTTACAAACATTGGCTGAAGCGACCTTGTTTATACTTAGGCAACATTGAT